CCGGATGCGTTTCTGCTGGCCAGCGGCCGCTCCTCGGGCTGTGAAGCCCGGAGCTACCGCGGCCTCCGCTGTCCAGCCTTAGTCTGGAGGACTGGAGCGCAGGGAGGGTTTTTGTTGCCGTGCTTGCCCTCGAAGCTGCAGCAGGAAGAAGAGGTGTGGGTGAGGCCTGGACCTGTCAACTGCGACCCCTTGCTGCCCTCCGCCCTGGGTGGCTCTAGAAACTTCCCTCTCCAAGACGTTTTCTCTTTCTACTCCCAAACTGGGCTTTTGCCCGCATTGGCAAAGCTGTTGAACGAACTATTGAGACTACTAATCTTAGCAAGGTCCTCTCCTGTTCCTTTTGGAGATGCTCAGGAGCCTCTTAGGCAATTTCGACCCTCCCTTGAGTACAAAACGCTACCACTCCTCCCACCCATATATCAATTCCCCTTTCTCCTCATCTAGCAAAATCATCAGGATTCTGTTCTTGGCCTCAAGCAGTAATATGGCCTGAGTCATTTTTGTATTTGCAATTCTAATTCAGAAAAACCCTTTAAAAGTGAATTATTTTCTTTTAGTTCCTACAAGTGGTAGTTTTGTGGTCGGCTGGGCAAATTTGGAATCATACAGCCTGATCCCACAACTATTCTACCCTTTATTAGAGCCTTTGGTTGTTAAACTGTGGAAGAAATTAATATGTGCATAGCAAATAGGGATTCATATAGCCATTATAATTCTGAAATCCCAAATTTAAGGTTCACTCAATTTCCCGTGATATACTCAATTCCTCCTACATTTTCCCAAGAGCCTTCTAAACTTCTGATTTTTAGGGCTTATCTTACACAGATGTTTCCTCTTCAAGCAACTTGTAAGGAATTAAAAACAAAAAACATTAACTTCCCAATCTTTGAATAATCTAAGATGGCATCACCTATTATCCACTGCTTAGCTTCCCCAGTCCAAACTATGTCTAGAATACTAATACTAATTATAGGCTTAAAACAGGAGACCTTTGAGATCTAACAATGCAGTGTGTCCTTCTGAGATATTTATCCACTCAGAAATTTTTTTACATGCCAAGACAAAATTTTGCTCTTGAATGTTTTGACGCCAAATTATTTTTTCTGTAGAAGTAGTCACTATTTTCATTCTTCACATTACTTTCCATATATCAAAATTCCAATCTCCAGTAAACTTCATTTCTTCAATCACTGTAATGATTAAAAATATCTCTGAGTCTGGTATAAGGTGAAAAAAGCTCTTATATTGTTAATTCTCCTGGGTTTTCCTTCAATCTTGAACTTATTTTCAAGAAAGCTACTAAATGTACTTGGATTTCCATTTCAGAGCTTATTGGTTAATTTCTTCCAGCAAGAATTTTGGTTTTTGTGGGACAGGCACCATATAGAGCTGGAAGTGACCTTAAACAAACACAGACAATGATTAAAAAAACAAAAAACAAACAAAAAAAAAACTGTGGTTCATTGTTTCTAAATGCCTGTTGCAGCCAGACATGATGGCTCTCGCCTTTAAACCCAGCACTTGGGAGGCTGAGACAGGAGGACAGCAGTGAATTCAAGGCCAATTTGGGCTATAGGGAGTTCAGGGCTAGCCTGCACTATAAAGCAAGACCGTGTCTCAAAAACAAACAGAACAAAACACTGTATGTCTATTGCCTGAGGTATTATACATTACTACCATTTCCATTTCTTTTTAGTAGCTCTTTACTGAGGGCAAGAAAAGATCTTTTCCCAAGACTAAAGTTTGACTTCATGCTGGGGAAAGTGGCACATAGTTATCTCCTTAATGGGATAATAGGCTAGAGTGCCAATGTGGAATAAAAGCATATGCTAAAAATTATGTATTTACTATTTCACATTGGCAATGGTACTCTTTTAAGGGGGAAAAAAAAAAGCAACTAGCCCAAATGTTTCAAGGGATTGTTTATGATACAGCTACCTTTAAAGGTCCCCATGATTTATGATCCAACTCAGTAGTGACAACCAGTTTTCTTTTCAAATCATACACTGCATACTTTGTTACAAAGGTCACATATTTATGCTCTCCCCCAGTTCAAGGCAATATGCATTATGTATGCAAAGGGTTATGTAACTATAATTTCTGTAAACAGCTGAGACTAACTCTAAAAATAAATTTTTCTTTTTCTGTGCAAAAATCCATCTGCCTTCACTACAGGTTCATTACAAAAATCACTGGATCATGCCAAGAGACAGAAAAGTCATTTGAATTGTTACATTTTTCCTATAGCAGCTGTGCATACAGTTTACATTCTTTATGCAGGAGTTTTTTCCAATCTTCCTTACAAAACAAAAAGTCTAAAGAAGGAAAGCTCATTTCTATCAGATTTTCATAGAGGAAGAATATGACATATTTTATGTCTAGTTCCCACTCTTTCAACAATCACAAAGTCATCATTAGGCCTAAATCCATTGTTATTCTACTGTAAATTAAGCAGATTTAGATATTCTTTACCTTGGTTACATACAAACACACAGTATTTACTGGCTTCAAGATCTGAAAGAATACTTTTCCTTGAACTTTTTCATTTTCTTGTGGTGCTGAGCGGCAAGGACTTTACCACGAAGTCATTTGAACCTGTTCCTCAAATATGAGGGCAGGTGAAGGTGATACCTTTGCGTGCAACTGTTAAAAGTGATTAAACAATTTAATCCTATTGGAATCAAGCTCAAATCTAAGCACTATTGACTGTATTGTTGAAATATATCTAGTGTTTACTGGCTAGTTTTCATTATAGCTTTTAAATTTTCATCTAATTACATGTGTCAAGTAAATATTAAAAACAAAGATGAATTATCTAAGCCATATAAAAGGCAAGATTATAAAATATTGCTTATCAAACAGTGCCAAAGAGCACTTCTGCCTAAACCTGATAACTGTGCCAAGGCCTACATGCTTCCCTTTTTCAATCAAGTGACTGCCACATCCTCCCCTTTCTCAATTACGGGACTATCAGGGACCATCAGAGTAATAGAAAACCTAAAGCCTTCCACCTCAAGAAAAGAACTAATACATTTTTTTAAAGTTTGTGTAAAATATAATTCATTTTTGCTAAGCTTTCTTTTTCCTGTAATAATTTACAAAAATGTTATAATTAAAACCCCATCACCACTGTTAATATACATTTCACCTTGATATGATTTCTTTGCCTTGAAAATGGACCTATGTGAATAAGCATAGAAGTAATCATAGTACAGTTAAAAAGTCGAATTGCTCTTAAAACTCACTGTCTACAACTCCTACAAGTTTTTTAGATTCTTCTATTGGTGAAATTTCTGTATACAAGGAACAGGTAAGTTTAGCTCAGAAATACAAATTCATTCAAGGCTTCTAATTCACTTACAAGAAGCAAGGAAGCAAATTTTAAATCATTGAGTATTGACTTTTTATTATTAGTCACTGTTCATAATTTGTTTCAACCAAAAGACAATACACACAGATTTCTAATGCATCCCATGTAAATGTTTACATCCATTTTATTCCTCACTTGCCTCTAAGACTTATTTAATTTTAATTTTTTTTACATCTCAAAAATATGTCTGCAATAATTAGAACTTCATTTAGCTGTCCCACTTTGAAACAGCCTTTTAATATTTTTACAGTAAAGAAGATGTGATGGGGCTTAATGAAAATGTAACTTACATTATGAAAGAAAAAAGGACTTTACAGGAACACAGTGGGACAAAGTTCACAAAGGAAAGAGTTCAGAAGCTCTTTCCAATGAGGTCCCCAAACAAAAACAAAACACACAAAGCGCAAATGCAGGTTCTTAATAAAAACAAAACTCCAATGCTCCATCTTGAAGCCAGAATCAGCCTCATGGAAGTTCATGAAGCAACTGAGA